CACCCCACAGAGCCCCCTCCTCCCTCACAGACCTACATCCCAGCCCACACCCCACAGAGCCCCCTCGTCCCACACAGACCCATATCCCAGCCCACACCCCATACAGCCTTTCCCATACCCCCAAAGCCCAGCCACATCCCATAGAGCTGAGGAATGCTGAGGGTGAGTAATAAACAAAATGAACTTGGGATCTTAGCCCAAGGAGGGATATGTGACCTCCCAGAGATCACCAAGCCTTGACAGACAGTGATTGTCCATGTGGCTGCATGGGAAGACCCCCTTCACCCACAGAAGGAAACTCCTCCAGGCTTGGGAAGGGAGATCTTAGAGAGCTGCTCTGGCTAAAAAGCTCCCTCTCTGGTCTATAGGTCCTTCCAGCTCTCGATCATGGTATTTACCACTGAGAGAGGCCTAGAGGTCATTTAGCCCAGGCATTCTTAGCCTGGAGTCCACAGACCGCCCCCCCAAAATTCCATGGCTAGATTTCAGGGGGTCCATGATCTTGGATGGGGAAAAAGCGACATCTTCATTTCCACTAACCTGTAAGTGACCCTTGGCATTTCCCTCAGTGACGAACATTTCCAAGCAGGAGTCCACAGGCTTCACCAGGCAGGCGGCCAGAAGGGTCCAGGACACAAGCAAAACCCCGGCCAGGCCAATCCCCTCATTTGCCGATGGCGTAACTGGGGCCCGCACAGGAGCCAAAGCTTGTTTAAGGACACACACAGTGGTAAGGAGCTAAGCAGGGAATCAGAGCGAGGTTCTCTGACTCCAGACCCCGCATCCTTTCCTCTGCGTCCCACTGTTGTGTGTTCTAAGATCCCCATCATTCTGGGATTCTCCTTGACAATTCCGAGGGTCAGCAAGACCTATCAGCAGCTGGAAAGGGACCCACAGGCCAGCCAGTCCAAGCCCCTCATTTTCCAGACGAGGACACTGAGGCCCAGGAAAGTTCAGAGATCTGAACATGGTTTTTCAGAGATGCAGCTTGGACCCAGGGTCTGTGGTTTCAGAGCCAGGACCCTTGGCACTGTCTCAGGCCGCTTCCTTGAAGGAGCCAACTAGGTGCCAAAGTCTCTGCCCATAGTCCCCGGGTTCAGAGGTGCCAACAAGCAGCCCGGACATCCTTGGCCTGGCATTGCTTCCCCACCATTTCCAGTCCCAAATCTGCATCTCCTGTCCCTCTTGCCTCTCCTCTTCCTGGTTTATTTTTAATGAAGGAAACTTCTCAGCTAATGATTTCCCTGGCTATGGGGACAGGTGGGATGGTTTAAAGAGGGCTGGAGGAGGTGAGATGGAAAATATTTCCCAATCCATCTCTGTTTATTGTGTGTGTGTGTGAGAGAGAGAGAGAGAGAGAGAGAGAGAGAGAGAGAGAGAGAGA